GAAGGATCAGGGATTCTTTTTATTTATGTTTATTTATGTTTCTTTTGATTTATTTATTTTTTTATTTATGTAACTGTCCTGGGTTCGGGAGAGTCCAAGATCCTCCATAAAGCAGCAAGAAGTTTCAGGAGCTGTGGTTTGGAGTAGTTGGTGAGCCAGAAGCCTGAAGGGGCTACAATCACTTTACTGCCAGCCCTTGGATGGCGGGGGCTGCCATTCGGACAGAGCCCCCCCTCAGCTGGCCAGCGTGACCATGCCAGCACGCCACACCAAGATCTTGTTTCCATTTGGAAATCGCTTCTGGATTTTGTGCGTGTGATAAAAATATATATATATGAAAGTTTGCAATTAAGAATGCAATCCGTTTCTTTATTTTTCTAACAAAATCAATATGGTCCTGTATGATTTTGATTTAATTAATTGTTTGAACGCCGAACTGCAGTGCTAATATCAGAAATGGCCATATAGATAGTGCCATATGATGAAATGAGTTAGGATGATGAAACATGGTTTGGCTGGTGTGAGTAATTCAAAAAATAGTCTTTTTCTCATTCCCAAGATCTCGCCATTCTTGTCCCAAACTTTGTGAGATTTCACCTTTTGTGGATGAGACAAATCAGTATTTGGCCATGAAAAAAATGTTTTTTTAAAAAAATTCAATGTGAACTGTGTCTTTCCTACCCTGAATGAGATCAACCATTACTTCCTATGATTTAGAGCAGTGTTTTTCAACCTTAGTAGCTTTAAGACAGATGGGCTTCAATCCCAGAATTCCCTGGCCAAGCTTGGGAAGCACTGATCCAGTGGAAAGAGGGTCAGGTTAGGTAGCGAAGACACACTTTCTCAAACTTGGCAACTTTAAAGAGGTGGACTTCAATTCCTAGAATTCCCGTGTTAGCTTGGCTGACTGGGGAATTCTGGGAATTGAAGTCCACCCTCCTCTTAAAAGTTGCAAAGGTTGAGGAACAATGGCATAGATAGATAGATAGATAGATAGATAGATAGATAGATAGATAGATAGATAGATAGATAGATAGATGTAGATGCATGCATGCATGCATGCATGCATGCATGTATGTATGTATGTATGTATATGTGTATATATGTATGTTTATGTATGTGTATGTATGTGTGTGTATGTGTATATAGGGCATGTTTTTTTGGTTGAAAACCTTTCACTTCTCATCCAAGAAGCTTCTTCAACAATACATTTTCAAGAAAAAAAAACCAAAGTCCAGTTGCCTTTTTGGAAAAAGCACCTTTGGGACTGTCCTATAATATCATACAATGGGTTGAGCTATACAGGTAGTCCTCGAGTTACAACAGTTCATTTAGTGACAGAAGTTGCACTGAAAAAAAGAGACATGATCACTTTTCAGTTACGACCTTTGCTGCACTCCCCATGATCACATGATCAAAAGTCAGATGCTTGGCAACTGTTTCATACTTATGACAATTGCAGTCTCCCCGGGGCCATGTGACTGGCCCTCTTTTGCGATCTTCGGACCACCAAAGTCAACAGGGAAGCCAGATTCACTTAACAACCGTGGAACTAATTGAAGAACCGCAGTGATTCTTTTAACAACTGCTGCAAGAGAAATCGTAAAACAAAGCAAAACTTGCTTAACAAATCCATCATGTAGCAACATCACTTTTGGGCTCAAATGTGATGGTAAGTCAACTTGCCCTCAACTCTGCTTCGGATTTCCCATTCCTTTCCTCCCTAAGAATTAATTCCCCACCTCAGAAGCTTTTTCGACTTCTGCGTGTTTAACAGATTAACAGAGATGGAAGGGACCTTATAGGTCATTTAGTCCAAACCCCCCCCCCCCCTCAAGCAGGAGACCCTCCACCAGTGACGGCTAACCTTTTTTGTCATTGCCTGCTGAAAGCGTGCACACCTGCAACTATAATACAATGTGCGCACCCATGCATGCCCCATGTATGCATTTGCACCCATATGTGCCCTGTCCCCATGCATTCATGTGCTCCCCCGCACATGTGCCCCGCACCCCTCGCCCATTTTTTGCCTTCCAGGTTGGTGCAGAAGGCCTTCCAGGCTCAAAATGGGATGCTGGGGGGGGGGGGGACCGGCACGAGGCCCCAAAATGCAATCTGAGTGCCATTCCCCCCCCCAGCATGCCCCCTGCCCACATACATCCTCTGCAGAGACCCAATTGGCCAGCAGGTGCGGTGCAGCTGGGCTGGGGTGACGACTAGAGTGGCATGGTGGCTACACCATTTCTAACAAATGCCAGTCCAGTCTCTTCTTGAAAGTCTCAAGTGAGGAAACTCCCACACTTTCCGAAGGAAACTTCTGTTCCATTGGTTGATCGTTCTCACGGTCAGAAAGTGAGTTTCTCAAAGCTGGGTGGATCAGGCCCGCTTTGCAAAGGTTTGGGGAGAAAGTTAAATGGTCCGGGTGTTGCGACCCTCTTTGATTTCGGAACACAAGCGGGCAAACAACTTGTGTCCATCCTTCGCAGCGCAATAGAAAAGAATGAGTTCTTTATTGGCCCAGTCTAGGTGATTGGAGGCGCAAGGAATTTGTCTTTGCCTGACCCGTGCAAAATATTGCCAAAGTCTCACACACACACCGCTTTTAAACGCAGCCGGGTCTTTAAGAGAGCGAAAGTTAGCCAAGCATTAAAACAACAACAACAACAACAATAATGATTGCATTTAACAGGAGGGATCGACCTTCGCTATTTCAGCGGCGCTCCAAGGGGTTAAATCCAGAGAGGCAGGGAGTCCCGCGTCCTAGAAAGGCCGAGCAAAGCGGAGGGTTTGCGGGGTTTGCTTCTAGGTGCCGCCTGGGAGTCTTTGCAGACGGACTGGTGGGGAAAAAAGCGGGGCCATCGCCGTGCATGGGGGGGAAAAGTGAGTGGCGTAGCCCAAGGGAAGAGGGGCTAGGAGGGTGGATTCCTCACCCCTTCTCCCCCCACCAGCTGGGATCCCGGTGGGCCGTTTGCTCCGCGAAAAAGCCTCTTTGCAAAACTGGATCTACGCTGCGCTTCTGCTCCAGGCTGGATCGGTTCTGCCCAGCCAAAGCGCGGCGGGTTACGATCGCGACCCAGCTCATCCGGAGGGCGCCTAGTTGGGGGAAAGCTGGGGCAGATATGCCCTCTAGGGAACCCGGGAAGGCGGGCGCAGGTCCCTGGCCTGGAAAAGTGGTGTGCAAATTAGATGCCTGTGCGCGCGGGCGTGCACACATGATATGCATGCATGCATGATGGATTTGGAGATGATTAGGACAAACACCACGGATTGCAAAAACAGCCCATCAATCTTAGTTCAAAGGAAGCAGGGAGTCACATATTTAGGGCGTGTCAATCAAGCAGATCACCTTGCCTGCCTGTGTAGAAATCACTTGTGGCTCTTCCCAAGGGAGTCCCTATTTTCTTGGATCCCCTTTCCAGCTGTCCACCATGGCTCCCTCTCCTTCCACCCTCAATCAACTATGCCCACAATTGGGTGGGTGGGTTGGTGTCTGGTCTGACATCTGCTTGGTTGACATGCCCCAAATACATGATTCCCTGCTTCCTTTGAAACTAAGACTGCAATCCATGATGCCCTTTCTAATCTTCTCCAAATCCATCATGCAAAGGAATCTTCTTTGTCTTGCTCACTGTGTAAATTTCACAAGCTTTGGCTCAGCTGGAGACAGTGTTTGAGGCTGGTGTTTCTCAACCTTGGAAAGTTTAAGCTGGGTGGACTTCAACTCCCAGAATTCTTCAGTTGAAATGCATGTGCAGAATGGCTGGGGAATTCTGGGAGTTGAAATCCAGGCTTTTTTTAAATTCCCAAGGTTGAGCTGGATCTGGACAGCAAAACCTGTTCCTGTCTTTGCAGATATATCCAGCCTGGTACCAGGTGACAAGAAGCGGTTGCAAAATTATAAATAAGAGCGTTAATTTTCATCATGGCCACTTTTCAATTTGCACGTGTGATACCTAATTTCATGTTTGAAGCAAGGAGGAGAACGGGGTTCTTTGAATAACTGCATAGTTTTTTTATTAGGCTCTGTAAATTTAATAATACAGCTTTATAATTTTGCCTAGGGACTCAGTGACTAAGATGCTGAGCTTGTCAATCAGAAAGGTCAGCAGTTTGAATCCCTAGCGCCACGTAACGGAGTGAGCTCCCGTTAATTTGTCCCAACTTAGCAATTTGAAGCACGTAAAAAATGCAAGTAGAAAAATAGGGACCACCTTTGGTTGGAAGATAACAGCGTTCCATGCGTCTTCGGCATTGAGTCATGCCGGCCCCATGACCACGGAGACGTCTTCGGACAGCGCTGGCTCTTTGGCTTTGAACCAGAGATGAGCACTGCCCCCTAGAGTCAGGAACGACTAGCATATATGTGCGAGGGGGAACCTTTGCCTTTACCTTTATGATTTTGCCAACAAAATGCAAATGTTTATTTTTAATCATTGTGCCAAACTTTTTGGGGATTCTCCTCCTTGTGTCCTTCCCAGGTTGTTGTCCTTTGTTGCTGAATGTTCTCCCGTGTGCCACTATCTTGGTGAAGGTCTCCAAGGATGAAAATGGAAGAAGGAGGGACTCTTAGTTGTCTTCCAGGGGAGCCGTCCAAACCAGCCGGAGAATTTCTTCCTGGGGTCATTGTAGATTGCAAGACCAGAGTGGATTTCAGAGGACGAGGCAAATCTCTGGATGGAGATACGGAAAGATCCTGTGGACAGGCCATCCTACCTCAGGTGAAGGGAGAATCAGAAGAGGATCTAACTCAGCACTGGGAAGTCCAATGGAAGACTTTCTTGAGGACAATGGAGTCCTCTCACCTGGGCTGGGGAATGACCCATTTCCCGGAGGACCCTTCCTTGTGGGAAGACGCCAAGACCTTCCTGGGCTCCTTCGAGCAAGTGGCTGAGGCCTGTCGCTGGCCCAGGGAACAATGGGTAGCCCGGCTCTTGCCCGCCCTCAGTGGAGAAGCCAGGCGGGCCTTTGATAAGCTGGAAGCTGGAGACCGAGAGGATTACGGGAAAGTGAAGGCGGCCATCTTGCGAGGGGATGCTCTGAGCAGAGAGGAGATTCGCCGGCGCTTCCGGCAGTTTAGCTACTGGCAGGCCGACGGGCCAAGAGCCGTCTATGCCCAGCTGCGGGATCTCTGCCGCCAGTGGCTGAAGACCGAGAAGAATAGCAAAGAACAGATTGTGGAATTGCTGGTCTTGGAACAATTTCTGGCTATTCTTCCTCCGGAAATGCAGAGCTGGGTGTGTGAATTCAGCATGGAGACCTGCGCAGAGGAGGCCGTGGTCCTGGCGGAGGACTTCCTCTCGAGGCAGCAAGAGGCTCGGAGGAAAGATAAGCAGGCGAGTTTGACTGTGCTCTTCCCCGAAATTGTGGGGTCTGCAAAGAAATGCTTTAGCTTTGAAAAAGGAGAAAGAGTTCAGATTTTTGCATTTTCTATTAATGCACTCAGTAGTAGTACAATCCAAGTGACGGTGTGTACAGTATGTAGTAGTATATTTAAAAAAATAGTCATTCAAAGTCTTGAACCAAGCCATCTTTTCATCATCACCAAATGCAGATTGAAAGACCATCCTCATTTACCAACTGGAGACTTGGTTGTTAAGTGAAGCAGTCACTAAATGAAACCACAAGTGTGATTGCAATCCGATTATAGTTTTTTTCTTTCTTCGATAGACCTGGGAAGGTCATCAGTGCAAGAATTGGTCATAACAATTTTTTGAGACACCGTTGCAACTGCAAACAGTCGCTAAACAAGACAGTGGCTAAACAAGTATTACTTGTAATTTGGAACCACCGTGAATGAGATTCTGACTGCGGGTCCTGAAAGTCTGTAATAAACATGTTTAAACTATTTAACACATCTGTGACTTGTTTATTTTTTTTGGATTTCATAGGGAATCTTGGAGGAAGCCCAGGCTGTTTTCTCCTGGACTCCGGTTGAGCCCGGACAGAGAGTCCTCTATGTTGAATCATCGCTGGAAGGCAGTGATGGACATGGCACTTTGTTAGGTAAGGAGGACACTGTTTATATATCCCAGTTCTCTGATCTACGGAGGGTCGTTATCATTCTGAAATTCCTTCTCTCCCATACGAAAGCTGGGAACTTCTCTTTTCCTGAAAATCACCAGGACCTTGGGAAAACAGAGACAGTGGAGGAGAGAAATTCAGGCAGCCGTCTGTTCAAGATGCTTTCATCTGAACTGCCTCTGTTTTCCAACAAGGATTGGCAATAATGGTCATAGGTTGCAGCTCCCAAGAGCTTTGGATTCCATTCCCCACCCTCCAGTCAGAGTTGAAGAAGCTTCTTGGATGAGAAGCTAAACATCTTCAAAGAAAAACCAGAAAGTCCAGTTGCCCCTTGAAAAAATACCATTCGGACAACTGTGACCTGACTGACTGATAATCTCCATAGACATATACAATAGCAGAGTTGGAAGGGACCTTGGAGATCTTCTAGTCCAACCCCCTGCCTAGGCAGG